AACCGTATTCTAATTATGAAGGCCCCTATATTAGTGCCTGTATAAGCCCGCAAACGAGACCCTGAAAGAGCCCTTGAAGGAAATCTGAACGGAACCCTGAGCCCTAAACTCCGGGATCATTAATCGAGGGGGTTTCCGCGTGAGCTGGTGTTTAGGGTTTAGGGTTTAGGGTTAGGGTGCTTAGTATTTTACGGCTTAGTCTAGGACATTTTCAGGTGGGTAGTTACCGTTATAGGAGCCTTGTAGAACGTCTGTATACCTTATGGCAGCCTTATAGAAGCCCTATACACCCTAAACTCCCCATCAGTAGTTTCCTTTAACTTAGTGCAGTCCCGCCCTCGCTGAAGTTTCTTTTTTGGTCTATTTGGAGGCTCAAGGCACTTGGAAGGTAACTTACTTTTACGCAAGGTTGCACTTAGAATGACCCCACTTAAATGCTTAGAACCCCAACCATAACCTACTTACTAAGTCCCTTGAGCCTTTAGGTTGCGCGTGGTACCGCTACCCTAAACCCTAAACCCTAAACCCTAAACCCTAAACCCTAAACCCTAAACCCTAAACCCTAAACCCTAAACCCCAGCCCTTTGAGGCTCCTGTGATAATGTGGGAACCTGATTAACAAAGCCTGGTCGAAGTATGGCCTGGTCGAAGAACCCCAAAATGCCAGGGCTCATACTTTGGACCCTAAGGTCTCCTAAGCAGGCTCCTACACTAAGCAACCCTAAACCCTAAACCCATAAAGTCCTAAACCCTAAACCCCTAAACCCCTAAAACCCTAAACCCCTAAACCCTAAGCCCTAAACCCTAAAACCCTAAACCCTAAGCCCTAAACCCTAAACAGACCCTTTCAAGGTTCCTAGACTAAGCAGACGAAACATGGAGGGTTTAGGGTTTAGGGTTTAGGGTTTAGGGTTTAGGGTTTGGGGGCCTTTGTAAGTAGATATGAAGTGGACTTCTAAGTACCCTAAAAGGGATACTAATTGGTGTTATGATACTTATACGTCTCCAAAACAACTAATATAGGGGCCTTCATAATTTTCACAGGGTTTGGGGTATATATTATACTATAGTTTTAGCAAGGAGCCCGCCAAAACCCTATTCTAAGAAGTCCCCCGACCCTCCTTCCCTAAACCCGAAACCCTAAACCCCTTAAACCCTAAACTAACCCTAAAACCCTAAACCCTAAGCCCTAAACCCTAAACCCTAAACCCTAAACCCTAAACCCCAAACCCGTAAATCCCTAAACCCTAAGCCCTAAACCCTCCAAGAAGGTGAACCCAGCCTCGGGAAGTTCGAGGGGATGGTAAAGCACGACATCTACAGCCAGTACGCGGACATGCGCCTCAGCTTCATGAACTACTTAGTTTATACCAGAGCGCCGAATGCAGGGATAAGGGGTTTAGGGTTTAGGGGTTTAGGGGTTTAGGGGTTTGGGTTTGAGGTTTAGGGTTTAAGGTTTTGGGGTTTAGGGCCAATACCCAACCTTTAAACTTTTTGGGTTCTTATGGTTTAGTAGTTATCTGAAAGTTTAACCTTTTATTGCCCTGGCTTATTTGGGAAGTAAGGTTCAGGGTGTAAGGTTTAGGCCTCAGCTGAGATGCGGTTCCACAGAGAGCCCAATAGGAACCATAGCTGAGATCATAGTATGAAGCCCTAAACCCTAACCCCTAAACCCCCCAAACCCTTAATTAAAGGAGCCATGGCCTAAAATCATAACATCACAACGTGAAGCCCTTAGAGTTTAAGGTCTATTCCTCAATGAAGGGTTATTGGGTTCTCTGGGGTCCCGGATTTTGAGGAGTTAGGGTTCTTTGGGTTTGCGGAGTTAGGGTTTAGGGTTTAGGGTTTGCGGAGTTAGGCTTTATGGTTTTAAAGTTTAGGGCAGTTTTAGGGCTTAGGGTTTGCAGTTTTAGGTTGTAGGGCTTGCAAGACAAACCTGAATTCAAGAGTAACTTCGAGGGCTTGTAGGTTTTTGAGCGTTTAACTGAGACGGGTGCTTTAACGGCCAGTATTGGGAAAGGGCAGATTTCCGAGTTTTGGCTTTTAGGGTTTAGGGCTTTAGGGGTTTGGGCTTCAGGGGTTTCGGGCTTAGGGTTCAGGGTTTTAGGGTTTAGGGCTTTAGGGGTTTAGGGTTTAGGGCTTCATATAAGGCAAGAGCTTCTTTAAGGGTTCAGGGTTCGGAATTTAACTAGGGTTATTGCAATGGTGCAAGGTTTCGGGGTTTTAGGGGTGCAAGGTTTAGGTTGCTTGAGGGGTGCCAAACGGCTTCCGTGTAGTATGGGTGGTCTGGTTGGGGTCACAGGGGATATGTTAACCCTAAACCCTAAACCCTAAACCCTAAACCCTAAACCCTGACATGCGCGAGAAGCTTGCCCAAAGCCCTAAGCTCCGAGCCCTACGACCCGAAACTTTTGACAATGAGCTTTAAATCCAAAACAAGCTTCTGTTTCTTCAGTGAACTAGCTGGTGGAATGTAAACGATTTAGGGGTTCAGGGTTTATGGTTTAGGGTTTGACTGGTTGTCCATAAGCTCGAAAGCGACTTTTCGTATGAGCTCCCACGACAGCCCCGACGGCGCCTACGGTGGCTCCCACAACAGCCCTGACGGTGCCTACGGTGGCTCCTACAGCAGCCCCAACGGCACCTACGGTGATTCCTACGACGGGCCCGAATTGCAGACTTGCAGTCGTTTGTCATGGCTGGCCGCATGAGCGAGCTCTCGTATTGGGCACGGATGGCAGCGCAACGGCGTCGACAACAACTTCAAGGACCAGGTTCCCGTTGCTGCTGGGGCAGCTTCGGAGAGCCGTGGCAGGCCGGTGGTGAGGCTGAGCCGCATGGTGCGCAAGCTGGTGGGTGAGCCCAGTTTAAGTTNNCTCTCTAAATACCTGACGATTCAGGCGTTTGCTGGCTTACAAGCTGGGCTGCTGAATGAAGGTGTCTCCCAAACCCTAAACTTCCCGCCTGAGGCCCAATCCAAACACCCTAAATCAAGGCTTTCGGAAGCCATGCCCGCTAAGGCACCGTGCTTCCAAGCTGGGAACGTGCTCGCTCGGTGTCCCTTCTCTTTCTCAAAGATTAAGCCATTCATGTCT